CGCCAGAGGCTTGCCGGGAGACCACGGCTTTTCCCCTCAGAAGCAATATTTTCAGTATCAGCGTTATGAGCTCCGGCCTTCAAATACAGCAAGTGGTCACGAACCCCGCAGTGCGTCGGGGGGGAAATATAGAACCCATCAAAATTTGCGCTCTGAAAGCTCCCGGAATCGTCGTATCCTCTCCTTTCAAGCTGAGCGTCGTCGTTCGCGCCAAGCTTACAGACAGTGGAAAACAGCCATGCGCGGTACTGTGAACCTCACCCTGGCGCAATACCGCCCCCCCCCGAAAAGGGTGCAAGTTAGTGTTCAACAAAAATTCCGATTGTTTGGTCCGCGAGACATTCCAACCAGCACATCCCGTGCCTTCTTTTTTAAAAAGCATATGTTGCGAGACCGCCTCTCCCTACCCCCAAACCGCCTGCGCACCATGGCTTCGCCTGGGCGTCAGCTCACCCTTCACACGTGGAACGTAGAAACCCTGCTCGGAACTGGAAAATATGAAATGCTTGCTACTGTATTGAACACAATACAAATAGGCATAGTTTGTCTACAGGAAACAAAAAGCACTTGCACTGATCATATTCGCTCTTTCAACTGGCATTTCTATTTGTCTGGGGATGCCGATGACCCACATGCAGGAGTTGGCTTTGCAGTCCCTCAATATTTGCTCCCATTAGTGCATGATTTCATCCCGCTCACGGCGCGGATTGCTATCTTGAAGCTAGCCACAAAACCTTTCCCGATCTCCTTGTTTTCCGTTTATGCCCCTTCCCAAGTCTCTTGCGAACAAGAAGATCTTGATCGTAAGGAAGCTTTCTGGCGTTCCCTCCACGAATGGTATATGCACTTCTCTCCTCACACGTACCCTATCATTATGGGCGACTTCAACACGCGTTTATACGCGAATCAACTGGAGGGCCTGGACCGGCACATAGGGCCCGTCACTTTTTCCCCTCCCACGGAAGCAGATCTAGCGCAAAACAACTTCACATACATGCTACAATTCCTGGTGCAAAATGACCTGTGTATCATCTCTTCCATGCGACCGCGCCCTCCTTCCAAATTAATCACATATCGAGAAATTGCTGACTTGACTAATGACCCAACACGCCCAACCATCGGCAACTTTGCGGTACTTGATCATGTTGTAACCCCCTTCCAGTATAGGACTTTTTTCCGTTCCATTTTGTCGGTTCCCTCGCTTCCTCTCCCCTGGTTTCATCGGCATTACTTGCTTACAGCAAAATTTGTTGCTCCAGATTTCGTTCATAAGGACCCCCCGGCTGCTCAGCCGGCATTTCTCCCTCCAAGTACCTCCCAGAAACATGCATTCCAATCTGTGGTCCTTCAATATTTCCAGGAAAGCTCATCTCTTGCTACCCCTCAGGTCTACTCCGAACCCCTATCTGATTCTGTTTGTATTTATACTGACGGCTCATGCCCAGATCAGTATCACGTCGGCCCCCGCAACCCTGCTGGCTGGGGCGTCTACATCGCCGACCCATATCACATAGACCATTTTGGTTCAGTTGGACACCTCCCTTTTCCCGTTCATGGTAGTAACAATACTGGCGAATTGCAAGCTATTCTGGAAGCCTTGTTGTTTATCCCTTTCTTATCTCACCCCCCGCCAGCTATCACAATTTATACCGATTCCACATATGCTAGGGATCTCCTCCTAGGTCTTGCCCTCCCCTCCTCCAACCACGACCTGGTGCACCTCCTTTTGGAACGGCTCTCTGAAGTGGCCACCAGGATCCCCATCGCAATTGTTAAAGTCAAAGGCCATTCTGGCCAGGAAGGCAATGACCGCGCAGATTCTTTAGCCGCGCGCGGGGTCCATTCCTCCTCGTTCTTGGGCCGCTACTCATCCTTCCCTCCAACTTCCCCTCCTTCCTTACCAAATCCCCTCCTGACTTGGTTTACTTCCCTCACTTTGGATCAGCAAACAGAACACTTGGTCTCATCCCTATCGCGAGCAGCCGCTGCTGCACTCTCAAGAAAACCGGCTGTCGTCCGCAAACCTTACCTTTCTCCTGCCACTCATGAGGAGATTGCAGCACTCAACTCTTTAGATTTATCATCCTCTGATCTGGAGACCTTGCGCCGGCGTATTCGCTCACATGCACGGCGAGACCGCAAACGCTGGACTCTACGCCAGCTGGAAGTTGACCACAGGGCCTCGCCAGCTGACCGATGGAAAACAATCAAACGGGTCCGATCCAAGTACCAGCCGCAAACTCAATCAGTGTCTTGGCCCTCAGGGCGCCCATCTACCGCCACAGAAAAGGCCGAAGTATTGGCCCAACATCTCCGAGATGAAGTATGGAAACCTGCCTTATGTCCCCCTCCCTCCCAGACTCCCATTTACCCTTGCGTCTTTGAAGCTTTCACAACCTTCACAATGACCGACTTACACATAGCACTCCGACGGTTAAAATCGCGCAAGGCGCCTGGCCCTGACCGCGTTGGTGCTGACTTGTACAAGCTTCTCCCGTTTGCAATGCGCCGCCTTCTGCTCGAGTATTTCAATTCCTGCTTCCTGTCTGCTTCAGCTCCAGACCATTGGAAATTGGCAAGGGTGGTTATGATCTTCAAAGGCGGGTCAAAGAACAGCCGTTTGCCCTCTTCATATCGGCCAATAAGCTTGGCGAACTCTATTTACAAAGTTTATGCTGCTTTGCTCCAAAGCAGGCTGGCTCTCCACTTCGATCACCGCATCAGCGACTTCCAATATGGCTTTCGAGCTCGCCGATCCACAAGTGCACCTCTCTTCCTGATCCGTCGAATGGTCGAACTGTTTGAGCGTCATACCACATCCTTGTATATTCTCTTCCTGGACTGGTCTCAGGCTTTTGACAGTGTTAGCCACGAGCACTTGGCTGCTTCCCTTGTCCGTATTGGCGTGCCTCTCCCTTTTGTGCATGCTATAGCAGCACTCTATGTTGACAGCAAATTTTTTGTCTCCTCCTCTTCTTATGTCTCCGCCACGTACTCCCTTTCACGTGGGATCCGCCAGGGATGCCCTCTCAGCCCATATCTGTTTATCATAGTCCTGACGGTTTTAATGCATGATGTCCAATTCTCCTTCGAAACCCGGTTCCACTTCACCCCGTGGACCTTCTCTTCTCGTTCTCCCATGACTGATGTTGAGTATGCTGACGACACAGTTCTAGTTTCCCGCACCCAGCTTACATTACACCGCCTCCTTCACAGTCTCCAGCATGAAGCTAGCAAGCGCGGCTTGCTTCTCAACCCCGATAAATGCCAACTTCTGCGCCTCCATTCCAATCTCTCCATTCATCTCTCACCTCATGTCACCCCACTTTCCCCTTGCTCCTGCCTACATTGCATGGGAACAGATGATCTCGGTGTTCAAATCCCCCCCCTGCACTCAGCCAAATATCTTGGGGCCTACGTAGCTGCAAATGCATCTTCTGCATCGGACTGCAATTATCGCTACTCTCAAGCGATGGGCGCGTTTCGCTGCCTCTTTCCCGTCTTCACTAATCCGTCCCTCCCTTCGCGCCGTAAATTGCAGGTGTATGCGCAAATTGTGCTTGCCATTTTACTTTATGGCTGTGAATCTCAAGTTTTCACCCCTGCGCAGATCACAAGGTTCAATTCTCTTCACTATAAAGTTCTGCGACAAATCTTTCAAGTTAAAAGCTCTTATTACCATCGGGTCCTTCACCCCTCTCAGGAGGACTGTTCCAATGAATACTTGCTGTCCCTTGCCTACCGTCATGCCCCCCGTCTCCTGATACCCAGTCAGCGTATTTCTGTCCAGCGATTGCGTTACCTCGGTCATATTCTTCGGCATTTTGAAGCCTTAGAGCATAGGATAATCTTCCATACCTCCCACGCCCTCCGCCGCCTCTCTTCTCCATTTCGTCTTGGTAGACCTCGGGCGCATTGGCCTGAAATTGCTCTCTCAGAAGCTTTTCACCGTTCTGAACAACTTAGAAGAAATCAGCATCCCACCACCCAAGAAATTTCCCATCCAATGTATGCCACAGGCACTCAGTCCATGGTTCACATATATTTTGGACCTTCCCTTGCAGACTGGTATGATACTACGGCGATCTGGAACACGCTCTCCCCAATAGCAATGGACCGCGACGAATGGGATCAAATTGTTTTTCCGGGGAATTTGATAGTTCACTCGAACACTGCTGACGTGTAGTTCATACAGCCGCTGCTTGGACTGCATTTCGCTTGACAAAAAAAATGTTAAATTACCAGAGGGTAATGTTTTGGTTCTTGGCCAGAACTCATTGAAGAGTATTGAAGGTGCTAGGATCTGGCAAGGTAGACCCACTGAAGACAGCAACAGGGCACCTGTTAAACCATGCCGACAAGCGACCCAATAGGGCAAGAACTAGCAGCGTATTCCTTGGAGCTATGGATGTGCCACAAGCCATCTGACCAGCAAGATCTGTGGTTCATAAAGTGGGGGTCCAACAAAAACCATTTACAAAAGCCTAATCCAACTTTACAGATTTACAACTCAGCTCCCCGATCTTTGGGTCAGCAGTTGATGGTTCCCAATTCCAAGTCTCGTAACGATGACCATCATCATCCGTACCACCTGTGGTGGAGCTTTGGAAGGCATATCCTCGGAAAGTCTCAGGCGCCGAGCGCGTTTATTGGCAGAAAATGGCATGGTCAGACATAGAAATTCCTGGTTAACTAATTAGATTCGCCGTAGAAGGTTCATAAGTTATGTTCATAAGCTTCTGAATTTTGACACTTGAAAGTCCCTGGGCTGGGAAGGGGTTGAGGTGCCACAGGACAAGATGCGTTGAGACCTGCCAGAATGGCCCGCAAATCGCAGAGCTTCTGCATAAAACACTTGGTCTCATCGTGCTGCACATGCCCAGCCTCTGCACTTGGTCGGGTCGGTCCAACAGCCCCCAACTGCAATATCTTCAATACATGGCGAGTGAAAGATGTGAATGTGACACATGTGAAACATTGTGAAACCATAGATATCTGACTCATCTGACCTCGTAACCGTCGTAACCACTCCTTTCCCGGCGGATCCCCACCTCCAGCTCTTCATGCCAGTAGCGACCGAGCCAAGATGTGACGGTATCCCTCACCTGGCAGTCACAGCCGGAAAATCATGAGTTCAATGAATGGTGTGGAGCTGACAAAACCATATCAGATATATCAGCCAAAAAGATGCAATAAACTGTTGGAGAAGCATCTCACAGCTCAGAGATCTCAAAGGCCCACAAGTTTTCCTAGGGATCAAAGTTTTGCAAATGGAATCTTCCCATCTTTTAATCCCAGTTTCACTTGTTATTTCCTTCTCTGTTTCACATCCACAAATGATCTTTCAGCACCTTGTGACATCCCAAACAGTACCATCAATCCCGAATGAGCACGACTCCTGACTTTCTGCAATATGGGGGCTAACATGGCTAACATGTATAAGTAGAATTATCACTATTTAGGGAATCCCTATCAACAATAGATACATGTAGTGGTGATAATTCCCAGTGGGCTGGTTGAAATTGCTTATCAACTGATTGTTAATTCCAATAGACTAATTATGCGTTCTATTTCAGCCCTACCAACCTTATTGACCATCACTTTACACACTGGCATCATGGACAAATCTAGTTTTTTTTTTTCACATGATCTTTTTACTCATTCTATCAGATCAGAAACCATAAGCATTACCGAGTTTTGCAAGTTGAATCTCCTTATTTTCCTCGTTTCTTCCCAGAATTTCCCACATTTTGCCAGTGAACTGCCAGGTTTTTGGTCTCAGCCATCCTTTCGGTGGTAGCCCCGGCGCCTTCCCCGTGGAGAAACGCAGCTTTTCGCACTCCGCATGCGTCAGCAGCCCCACGGTTTCCAGGTCGTGCATGGCTTGCTCCGCAGAGCCGATGATGGGAACCAAGTTCCTGTTCGCTGAAATATTGTATGAATATATGAATATATACGTATATATATATAATATTCATGTTTAATGTGTATGTATATGTGTATGTGTATGTCTGTAGGTAGGTATGTATGTCTGCATGCATGCATATGTACATGTATATGTGTATATATATATATGAGATATGGGATGACATTATAGATATAGATATACATACAGAATGTATGAAAAGGGGAATGGAATTGATGTTCCAAAGAAAACTCCCTAACCCATTCGGGGCCCAAAACAGGGTACCCAATTCCACGGTTGACAATCCCTACACAATCGCCATGGAGGAGTCGACCTTGAAAATGTCGGGATGTTGGCCGTGTTTTCCTTTGTCACAACGGCCACTTTACGGATGTAATTCGCACACGTTCAGACATATGTTCAAAAATAACAATTGCTTGTTTGATAACCACATTACATCGGAACGCCTCAGCAAACCAACGGATGGCAGCTGAGTGGCAAATAGTTCAGGTAGTGGATGGCATTCAGGTAACGATACCACTTGAAAATGGCCTCAACTGGCAGAATTTAGCTGAAACAACTTGGGAGATTCAAGTTGCGGCAATTTTGATAGGATTTAAACATGATGCTTCTTCGGCACTTGATTGGAAGGAAACACACACCAAAACATGCTGAAATCAGAACCCCCAAGCCTCAGATTGCTTACAACTCGCCCAAAAGTATTTCGAGAATTTTGAGTTGAAAAATGGATGTGGGTTTGTCAATGGGGTACCTCAACCCCCCCGGCTTAATCAGCATTTGTCCCATGAAGAGCAGTAACTTGGGGGAATGCTGCAAATTTGAACTTATATCCTTGGCTCTATTTGCCCGCTTTTTGTTGGTTATTGATCGATCTATCGATCTATCGATCTAACGATCTAGAGATCTATCTGTCTGTCTGTCTGTCTATCTATTTATCTATCTAATCTATCCACAGAGAACAAACATATGAACAAATGCACCAGATAAGGGAGCACTTCCAAATCAGCGGCCTCAATTCTGTAAGGCCATCCAGAGTTTAACCGGGCCTTCCGTTCCGTCGCAGCATTGACCTGATCGTTGACCTTTCGGTAGGAACTGTTGACGATGATGACCAGATCCTGAAACGGTGGGATTTTCGACACCTTGAATCGTCCCAAGTACGGCCATGCATGAAAAACTGCCAGCCACGAGGCACAAGAACAAAAGAAAAGAAACACAAATAAGACAACATAACCACAAATGCACGTGGAACAAAATGAAAATACGGCGGAAGGTAAATGTCTTTAATCCATGCTAGACTTGGATCAATGGGCCACAAGGGTGCCACAGGAAGCCAACAAACAGCAAACTAAAGCATTGACAGGTTGAAGGATGAAAGCAGTTAATTTTATGTAAAGTGTATTTTACAGTGTCCTTTTCTATACGGGTAGCTTCCTTTTGTCAAAGCTAAATAAATATTGAATATTGACGAAAGGCATGCACAAGGGACGATAAATACCCATTCTTTTGAAACTTTTGAAGGGCAAGCGGCAAGCGCAAAACAATGTACATTATCTGCTTTTGGCTGTTTGAAGCTTACATTCAAACGTATTTTTCATTTGACATTAATTCAGACTAAACACATCCAACACAGCGGAAGAAACAGTGTCGGGGGCCCTTGTAAGGGTACAACACATGATATTTGCAGTATTTCTTTTGATGCAACTGTTCAAACATGCTGGCGTCGCTGATGTGCCGAGCCCAGTAATATTTTGGCACCACCAGTGATATTTGGATGGCAACATCACATCAACGTATCAGATACCAGGTACCCAGGTTGCACCGAGCAGACCACAGAATCTGAAGCCAAGACACGTGGAGCCTTCCCTGGACTTGTAGCATCTTCTGCAGCCATTCATGCCAACGATTCACATCTTGTCCTGTCGGCACAACGGAGCTGGGACCCGTTGTGGGATAGTGTTCCTCAATCAATATGCACATATATGCATATATAATCATAAACAAATCATATATATATATATATACACATGATATGACCATCCCTCACATCACACTCCAATTTTTATCTCTTTTCATTCCCTCTCGATCACATCTGGCCTATCATATAGGTGATGAGAAAGACCGGCAAAAAATCAAAGCCCTGCACCACGAGGTTCACCGTCTCCATACCTGGGTGGACATAGAATCTACAGAAAGCATCAGATTCCGCAAAGAAGCCTACAGTGAAGTGCCATGCTAAGCCAAGATGCTGCTCAAAAATCTTGAGTATTGCTCCTCGAAGCAGTCGACGAATCACAAGTTTGCACAATTCCAATCCACAGACGAAATCCAAGGTGGCACAATATGCAGAGCAGTCGACATCTTCTCGGGATCTTGGGTCAAAACGGGGGTATTCTGAAGCTCACAAACATATGGGTTTACCCCAAAACGGAGTGTACCCAAAAATGGAGTGTACCCTACAAAAATAGCTATTTTCATAGAAAAAGGTGAAATCGAGCAGTAGGTTTTGAGGGTACGACCAGTACATCATTTTTGGACAAGGCCACATGATGCCACATGTTTCCTTGTCCCCCCATCGTCCGAATCGTCCTGCGCCGGAACCACGGGATCCACTCGTTGGTTCAACTCTGCCACTCGTTGCACTTCTGACAAAAGCGCACCCACCGCTCCAGCAGCACAGGTGTAGACTAAGGCACTGATGCAGGTCTTGGCGAAGCCTGGTGGCCATGTGGCTTCGGATAATCATCATCCATCTGCAAAAAATCTCAGCTGGTGTCTTTAAGAAAAGTGCAATTCAAATGAAACTCATTGGGGATCATTTTCCAATTTGGATGCAAAAAATGAAAGCACCAACTACTTGGGATGGGAAGATTGGGAAGGAACTGTACTTTAAATGGTGATTCGATTGACGATCTTTCATAAAACACCAGAGATTTCGATGCGTAAATGCCCTTTCTTTCCCCATTCTGAATGCTTGTGCAAACATGTCCTTTTTCCCACCATTTCTCAACCCAAATCTCCTCCGAATATCATATTGGACCTTGGCCAGAAATCTTTTCGAGGAACCTGAGGTGCAAACGTAGACCAAGGTCTCCACTTTGGTATGATAATACTGTCCTAAGGCCGACGAGGCATCCGGAGGCGCCATCGATTGTCCCAGTGGTTGGCAGAAGTCTTCCTCGGATCCTTAGAGAAACAACAACTGTTTTGCCCAACAAAAAACGGAAAAAACATGGTTTTAATTCATGTGCTAACCAACAAACATGGGGATATAACTTTAACCAATATAATTTTCGCATGATGGGATCACCCCAAAATTACCAATCTTTTTGGCTGCTCATCTGCTCAAAATTCGGGTATCCCAAACGGGATTTTCAATGGCAACGACCAATGATGTTTCATCGAAGACCTGGAAACCCTAATGGACTTGGGCAGCAACCAGAAAAAAACATAGCGGAGTCGCTAAATTTTTCAATCGGTTTTTGCCATGAGAATTTGGTGCTTTAGCCAGCCAAGGCGCGGAAAAAACTCATGAAATTCATCCTGCCTTTCAGCAAGGCCCACTTCACGGCAACGAGCTGCTGCTTGGCAGAAGATCCAATCAACTTGGAGGTCAGGTCCACCTGCTTCGGTGATTTGCTGTGGGTCATTGATCCTGGAAAAGGGGGAAAAGTAGCGCCGCTTGGCCTAGCCGAAATCCAAGGGTTTCTCTCTCACCATTTCTCCCATGAAAACAGCAAATTTCGGGGATACACTCCATTTTCAAGCGCACCTTTTTATATCTGATTCTTTGTTAGTCCCATTATGTCCCTACTAAAAACCCATGAACCCCCCATAAATTGAGCACTGGGTAAACCCATGGTCGCTGCGAGTCGGACATGTGTCTTGCAAGCCCGGCTGTGCATCTGCCACTGCAAGTGCTCCAGGTCACTGGTGAGCTGTGGGTCCTGGCTGCAAAGTGTTGGAGAAAACTCAGAAACACTGGGAACAGAATGGGTGTCCTAGAACTTTTCCAATAAAAACATATCAATCCAACCAAATTCCAGGGATGTTCTTCAGTGAATTTTGGGAAAGCGCCAAAGAGGCGGTGAAGATAGGCACTGTACTACAAATATTGCTTTGTCAACTTTGCCTGAAAATGGGGCCCCGAAATATTGTTCATAATCTGTGACATGAAAATGAAGGACACTTTCGGGGACGTAGCCCATGTTTGGAGACTCGCATAAAGTGAACCTTGCACCTGAAGCCAGCTGAACATATAGCCAAACGCACTTTGCAGGCTTGCTCCATCTCCCGTGCTAATCACACAGTGTCAACTTATCAACCGCACCGACACTGCCTTCTGTGCTGCTTTCTTCTGGGCTTGTCGCTCACTTTTCCAGTGCATGAGGATCGAAAAAACGCGAGTCACAATGAACAGGACAATGGCAAGTCCAGCGAAAACGTAGAAGTGCGGGAAACATCCTGCTGGCCACAACAGCAGGCCATTGAAACGTAACCATGGAATCACAACCACCTTGGGGTGACACTGTGGTGATATTAGCCATATACAACATCCTTAAATGACAATTTCCTAACACCGTCCCACTGTCCTTGGGTGGGTGGGAAGCTGTCAACGAGCTGAATCCTCTTGGTGAAGAGGATCCAGTTACCCCACCTTCCATGGTGCATTTTGGTGCCAATTGCTTCACAGATTGGCCTCAAACTCCAGCTTTCGAGAAGTTCGCATATATGCCATATCCATTGATACATACACAAATGAATAGATATGTAAATTAAAGGACCGGATAACCCCACAAGACAACTTCTTTGAATAAAAAGCACCAAATGTTGTAGCGGGGACGGGGAAGGAAGGAAAGACAAAGGAGGTGGTGGAGGACCGAGAAGTAAAACAAAGTTGTGTGTGACAAAGTTGTATGTGAAAGCTGGTGTGTGACTAAGAAAGATAGTGTGTGTGACAAAGTGGTGTGTGCAAGATGGTGTGTGCGAAAGTTGTGTGTGAAAGAGGGCGTGTGACAAAGTTGTGGGAAAGATGGTGTGTGACAAATTGGTGTGTGAAAGATGGTTTGGCGAAAGATGGTGTGTGACAAAGTTGTGTTAAAGATGGTGTGGTGAAAGATGGTGTGCGACAAAGTTGTGTGTGAAAGATGGTGTGGTGAAAGATGGTGTGTGACAAAGTGGTGTGTGAAAGATGGTGTGGTGAAAGATGGTGCGAGACAAAGTGTTGTATGAAAGATGGTGTGTGAAAGATGGTGTGAAAAGATGGTCTGTGACGGTGTGTGAAAGATGGCGTGTGACAAAGTGGTGTGTGGAAGATGGTGTGTGAAAGATGGTGTGTGACAAAGTGGTGTGTGACAAAGCGGTGTGTCAAAGATGGTATGTGACAAAGTGGTGTGTGAAAGCTGGTGTGTGACAATGTGATGTGTGAAAGATGGTGTGTGACAATGTGATGTGTGACAAAGTGGTGTGTGACAAAGCGGTGTGTCAAAGATGGTATGTGACAAAGTGGTGTGTGAAAGAGGGTTTGTGAAAGATGGTGTGTGACAATGTGATGTGTGAAAGATGGTGTATGAAAGGTGGGGTGTGACAAAGAGGTGTGTGATAGATGGTGTGTGACAAAGTTGGTGTGTGAAAGATGGTGTGTGACAAAGTTGGTGTGTGACAAAGTTGTGTGTGAAAGATGGCGTGTGACAAAGTTGTGTGTGAAAGATGGCGTGTGACAAAGTCGGTGTGTGAAAGATGGTGTGTGAAAGATGGTCTGTGACGGTGTGTGAGAGATGATCTGTCCCACGCCTGCCACGCAAAACGACAGTAGATGTGAGTTTGTGCCACGCCTGCCAAGTGAAACGAAGGTGGATGTCAGGTTGTGCCACGCCTGCCACGCAAAGTGCCGCGGCGTCACAGGCGCCCAAGCCGGCCCAAGCGCGCCACCCAGTACCATAAGTGCCACGCCTGCCACGCAAAACGACGGTAGATGTGAGTTTGTGCCACGCCTGCCACGTGAAACGAAGGTGGATGTGAGGTTGTGCCACGCCTGCCACACAAAGTGCCGCGGCGTCACAGGCGCCCAAGCCCGTCCAAGCGCGCCACCCAATGCCATCTGTCCCACGCCTGCCACGCAAAACGAGAGTAGATGTGAGTTTGTGCCACGCCTGCCACGTGAAACGACAGTAGATGTGAGTTTGTGCCACGCCTGCCACGCAAAGTGCCGCGGCGTCACAGGCGCCCAAGCCGGCCCAAGCGCGCCACCCAGTGCCATCTGTCCCACGCCTGCCACGCAAAACGACGTGGATGTGAGTTTGTGCCACGCCTGCCACGTGAAACGAAGGTGGATGTCAGGTTGTGCCACGCCTGCCACGCAAAGTGCCGCGGCGTCACAGGCGCCCAAGCCGGCCCAAGGGCGCCACCCAGTGCCATCTGTCCCACGCCTGCCACGCAAAACGACGGTGGATGTGAGTTTGTGCCACGCCTGCCACGTGAAACGAAGGTGGATGTCAGGTTGTGCCACGCCTGCCACGCAAAGTGCCGCGGCGTCACAGGCGCCCAATCCCGGCCCAAGGGCGCCACCCAGTAC